CCATCTGTGCGTCCTTTGCGCACGGCGCGAGCGATGTGAGCAATGCGATGGGGCCGTTCGCCGCCATATACTCCATCTACCAGACGCAGACGGCGTCGGCGGTGAACTCCACGCCAATTTGGATCCTGTGCCTTGGTGGTGCCGGGCTCGTGCTTGGGCTTGCGACGTTCGGTGTGAGGCTTATGAGGTTGCTCGGTGAGCGCATCACGACGATCACGCCGAGCCGCGGCTTTTCTGCGGAGCTCTCGACCGCGCTCGTTGTGTCGTTTGCCTCCGGCTACGGCGTGCCGATCTCTTCAACGCACTGCATCACCGGCGCCGTGGTTGCGATCAGCATGGTTGACGTTGGCTTCCTGAAGGTGCGCTGGATCATCGTCGCGAAGATGTACGCCGGCTGGATTATGACTCTGGTCATTTGCGGCGTGATCTCCGCGCTCTTCTTCGCACAGGGGATCTACTCCCCAAGCCGTGCCGAATGATAAGGATGTGAGGCGGTCGTGTCTTGGCGGTTTCTAAATGTGCAGGTGGCGAGTATTGAGTGGGTTTTGGTTTTCACCTTCTCCATTGTTCTAGGAATTTGTTTCTTTTTTTTTCCTGTAGGATTTTTTTTTACGCCTTTGTGTTCATTCGCTATTCCCTCATTCTGCCTTAACCCTGCTTTATAAGCCATGATACGTGCCTTCTAAGAAATGTTGTTCTCATATTGTTTTTATGTGTTTGCTAGGTATGAAATGTATTGGTCTGCCTGTGTTTATTTTTGTTTTTTCCTGCTAAAGGGCCGTTGGTTTGCGGTTACTGTGCGGTTGCAGGCGGTGCGTGTTTTCTCTGCCCCATCGTTGTGCTTCTTTGTTGCCCCGTTGGCGGTCTTGTTTGGTGGCGTGGGGGCCGGGAGGGGGGGTGCCGCTCCCTTTTTTTTCCTCGGCGCTGACGCCAGAGGCCGCAACTGGGCGCGGGAGACGTGGCAGCGGCCGCCTCCTTTGCGTCTGGCACCGAGCGCCACGCCGACTCGACTCCCATTTTTAGTGTTCTCCCACGGGCGTTGCCGCCCCCCATAAAACAGTGTTATTAACTAATGGGGCGGGGACGACGTGCGGAAGGGAGGAGGTGGGCAGGAATTTTTTTTGTTTTACCGTTTTTTTTCTTTTTCCTTTTGCTTTTTTTAGGTGTTAACGTTTTTCATGCCAGCGTCTACTTTTTTTTTTATTTCCCATGAAATGCTGCTGCCTGCTGGCTTTCGCACAACAGACGTCGCGCGCGGCCACGTAGATCGGGCTGGTTCTTCGCGGCATTTTCATCTACGTAAAAAGGTCTTTTTTTTTCCTTTACTGCCTCCCCTCGTTTACTTCTCTTTTTTTTTTATTGCTTTCGCCGAACTCTGTCGCCGTGCGCCGCGAGTTACTTGTCTTGTAAGCCCTTATGCTGCGCTTTCCAACCCGGGCGGTCCATTATTTGCCTGTTTCTTCTTTTTGGTTCGCAGTGTGATGTTGGAGTATGTGCAGCGTGAGGTGCGTGGCGGGAGGGCTTCTCGTAAGCAGCCACGTTCTGTTGTAGTCCCCTGCGGCGAACAAGGCAGCGGAACTTCGAAGGACCCTTTTGTGCTTCCCCTGCGCGAGACCCCAAATAGGAGTCAGTGCTACCACTGCATTGAGGATTGCTGCGATTGCCAGTGGATGGTGCGGAGACTGGGGGAGTGCTACGCCTCGTTGCCGGTGACGAGGCAGGTGATGCCGTCTCGGAAGAGGGAGCTGTGCGCCAAATCTATTCTGCCTCCTTTTGTGTCGCGTCTTGTGCGTATCGCGAAGATTGCGCCGCAGGACACTTTTTATGACTTGGGCTGCGGAAATGGAAGCGTTCTGTTTCAGGTGGCTTTGATGACTGGCGCTCGCTGCGTTGGCGTGGAGGTTAATGAGCGCAACGCCACCGTTGCGAGGGAGGCGTGGCGCCGCCTTCGGCCTGCGGTTGAGTCCCGGCGTGGTGGCGCCGTGGAGGTTGAGATTATTTGCGGCGACTTTTGCGCCCTCATGCGGGACGAGGCGTTCTTTGCCGCCTCTCCGGTGGTGTGGGCGGCCAACCTCCTCATGCCGAGTTCGGTGAACCACTACTTGTCGGAGCGGTTTCGCTCGCTCCCGAAGGGAAGCCGTGTGCTCTGCCTTGCGGACTTGTATCCGCACGGCAGGTCGGTGGCCGCGTTGCGCGACCCTGACGCATTCGAGAAGTTTGCCATGACGGACTTTAGGTGGCAGGCGAAGAGTGTCGAGTGGTGCGACCTGGAGGGCCCATTTTTCATGTACGCGAAACGCACATGACTGAAAGCAGCACACAATTAAATTCGTGGGGAAATGAAACATGTGACAAGACGGAATCAAAAAAAAAGAAGAAGAAGGAAGAATTGCGTTTTTCAACGCGTTGTATGGAGCCTAACTTTTGTTTTAGCTTCACTGTGTATCTCACTCTGCTAGATCATTTGAAAAGTGTCTGAGAAGGGGGTTTAAATACCTGAAGCGCCGCTGTGCTGGGGCCGTGTGTGCCAGTGGCCTTTTGCCTCTCCTCCTTGCATTGCCTCAATCACGTATGCATGCTTGGCTTTGCCTCCGACGTTGTTGTTGTTGTTTCTAGCAGTTCACCATCGATGCTGTTCGTTGCTTCGGAGGGCAAATCGAGGCTTATTGACTTAGAGACGAAGGCAGTGCACAGGACATGCACGACGAGTCACATTGAACGACGGGGGCTGACGTACTGTGCGGCGCTGCGGGCCGTTATTGCGCACCAGTCACGGGGTTGCTCTTCTTTCTTTTCACCCAACACACAGCAGCCGTTGCAGAGGAGCTTTACGTTGGAGTCAATCCTGTGCTCCGCATGCACCGTTGACGGTGTGTTTCTTATTGGTGGAACAGCAGACGGCAATATATATGTGTGGAGCACACTCACAGGGCAGCTTCATCGTCTTGTTAGAGCCCATACTCGTCGCGTCACAGACCTTACTATTTCCTCTGACCAGTCGTTGCTCGTTACAGCCTCTGAGGATTCCGTTTGCAAGACTTGGTCGCTGGCTGGTTTGGTGGCTCGTGGGTTGAGGCCGGCTGCTCCATGCGCGCTTTTTAACGGGCACACCCTGGCGGTGAATACCTGTTCCTTTATGGAAAGCGGGTGCCTGGTTGTGACAGGGTCCGCCGATCGCACCTGTCGCATATTTCATGCGTTAACCGGACGACAGCAACTCGTAGTCACTCTGGACGATGCCCTGACGGCGGTACGCCCCGCACCCGACGACACGATGGTTCTTGTTGGCTCCGCCAGTGGGTCACTCTCCTTCGTTCAGTTGTATGGCGACGCGGCACAGCAATGCCTCCCGGTAAATCTGCACAGGCGCGAGGAAAGCGTCACTGAGCGTAAATCCTTTGAGGACGGCCACGGTGGTGCCATTCTGTTTATCTGGTTCGATGCGGCGCGGCCGGGGTACGCCATTGTGGGAAGTGAAAATGGGACCGTGCTGTGGTGGAACATCGCCGCAAAAACGGCGCACAGCGAGGCCTTCCCCCGCCTCCCCGGAGGGGTGTTGAGTATTTGTTACGTGCCGAGGGAGAGCCGGGCGCCTCCCCCGTGGCCCTGCACCGGCCTCGTGAAGCACCCGCTCGACCCCTCCGCCACGGACTACGTCGTCCTCTCCGTGCCGGCCGCGGAGGAGCGGCTCCGCGTTGCGGGACCACGGCGCCGCTGCCGTGAACCGGACGCCAACGCCGCGGAGGACGAAGCGGACGCGAAGGTGAAAGTGGAGGGGGGAGGCGACAGCCACGGCCGCCTGAGCGCGCTTCGGCGCCAGCGGGAGAAGAATGACGAGTTGGAGACGCTTCGAGATCGACTAAAGGCAAAGCTACAGTCGCTAACGGCCTCCCAGGGCAGAGTGTGAGCGAGAAAAGGAGCTAAAATAATGGAAGTGGCAGTCTTTTCTTTTGACTTTTAATACGGAGGCGATTTCTGTTGTTCCACAAATTTTCTACTAGTTTTTTTTTTTTTTTGTCTTTGCATCTTCGGCTTTGCGCCTCCCCCCCCTTCCTTCCTTCCTTCCTTCCTTCCCTCCTTTACGTTTGCGCTCACGTCTCCGCGGTCCCTTTGTTTCTATTATTATTATTTTTATTATGATGCTTGCATAGCTGCCTGTAGGTTCCTGATGAATACATGTTAAATGGATCAAGCGACCCCCTTCTTGAGCAGCGAGAGCGTGGCATACTTTTCCCTGAGCTGGTGCTTCACATGAATTTCTTGCTTCTGCTCATCGCGGTCGGCTCAGGTGAGGACAAATACTTCCCCTCTTCTTATTCTCCCGAAGCGTGACATGGAGCCGTACGTGGCGGGCTTCTTTGTGAGAAGGCGAGGGGCTCATCAGCGTATCCTGCGACGCATGTCAAAAGGCGTTGCCCGAAGGCATTTATTGTACGGCAGTAATCTTGATGCGATGTCCATGTTCACTGGGGATGCTGTGCGCATTGAGTTAACCCCGTGAAGTTTGTGAGGAGCAGTGCTGCTGTGCTGCCGTTGCTGGGAAATTTGTATTTGCTGCGCCCTGGGAGATCTTTCCACCAGCTGGGTATCAGGGGGAGCGAGAAGTACGGAACAAGCGGCAACTTGCTTCTGTGCTTTGCCGTGGGCGCACTTGTGGACGGGGAGGCGGCGTCGTTAGGCTTGGCGTCGCCATCAGCGTGCTTATGCAGCAGCCAGAACTATGTCTGGACACGACTGCACAGGCCCAACACTTCCGGTGAGGCATCCTTCTTGCAGCAGTTTAAAGGTGATTGAAATGCCATGCGGTCTTTTCCTGGAGGATAATGCCCTTCTAAAGAGGCAACCAGGCTGCCTGCAACAGCGGCTAGGCGACGCCCTTTTCTACGTTGAGACGGAGTTGGGGGGAGGGTTATATCCCTCTCTTACGTCCGCGTGCCTGGATACGAGCCGCTGATTGTTGCGAAGTTCCTTCAAATCGTCACGACGGCGGCTGACGCCGCGGGCAGCTTCCGCGCCTTTTTGGAAAAAAGAAGAGGGAGGACGTGTTGGTGGCCTTCCGCAGTACTTTGAGCGGTGCCCTGAGCGAGAAGCTAGTGCCCCACTGGGATGGCCTCATGGGGGGAATGGAATGCTGCCTTTGGTCGTGCTTGCAAGCGACTCAGGGAGGCGTACTACTTTCAGCATTTTCGTCCGCCTCGACTTGGGCAACCTGCGGAGGTTAGTTGGTTAGTTGTTTTTTGTTTTGTTTTTGTTTTTTTCTCGTTGTTCCCACGCCTGTTAACGTGACACGCGGCGATCCCCCCCCCCCCCCGGTTGAGACGTACTTGTTTTTATTTTTATTTTTCTCTTGTTTTTTTTCTTCTCTTTGGCGCTTCTCCTCCGCGAAGTTTTCCGGGCCTCGCTGCGGCGCGTCAGCTCCCCGCGGCAGATGTCTTCGCGGTCGCAGGGCGCTGACGACGCCGCGTACAACGCGCGAAAGTTGGCGCTGCTGCCGGCGCTCATTGGCATGAAGGGTCTCCTGAACCACCACATTGCCTCCTTCGACCACCTCATAAACGTGGAGCTGCAGCGGATCCTTCTGAACGAGTCCAACCGGGAGATCAAGAGCGGCATCGACCCCGACTTCTCCATTCGGTACACGAATATCCGCGTGTGCCGGCCGCGCGAAATTGTGGGGAAGGGACAGTTGCCAAAGGCAGTTTCTCCCCATGAATGCCGGGCCCGCGATCTCACTTATCGTGGGGACATGATTGTGGATGTGGAGTACACTGGCCGCGACCGCAGCAAGCGGCCCTGCATTGAGACCGATATTAAAATTGGGACTATTCCCATCATGCTCAAATCGAGTTCATGCAATCTCTTTGGCAAGAGCCGGGAGGAGCTGGTTGCGATGCGGGAGTGTCCACTTGACCCGGGCGGCTACTTCATTATCAAAGGGGTGGAAAAGGTCTGCCTGGTGCAGGAACAGCAAAGTAAAAATCGTGTCATTATTGAGGCAGATGACAATGGCAACATCGTGGCCCACGTGCAGAGCAAGACACACTACTCCATCTCCAAGTGCTCCGTGACGTTCAAAAAGGGACGCATTGTTATGGTGCATCGCTCCTTCAAGGAAGACATTCCGATTGTGGTGATGCTCAAGGCCCTCGGCATGGAAAGCGACCAGCAAATTGCTCAGCACATTGGTACAACGCCTGCCTTTGAGAGTGTGTTGTTCGCCTGTTTTGAACAGGCTGCTGCTCTGGGTGTGAAGACCCAAGACGATGCATTACACTTCATCGGGGAGAGGCGGAAGGAGACCTCGTGGGAGGTGGATGATGCACAGCAGCGACACATCCAGAAATCGAAGGCGGACAACGCGGCGGAATTTCTTGGGAACGTCCTCCTGTGCCACATCCGGGAGGGAGAAGTGCAGCGTGATTGGAACTTTCGCCACAAGGCACTCTACGTTTGCTTCATGGTGCGACGCATGATTGAGGCGAGCGTGGACTCCTCTCTGCTGGACGAGCGGGACTTTTACGGCAATAAACGGTTTGAAACAACAGGAACACTGATGGGTCTCTTATTTGAGGACCTCCTGAAGCAATTTAATCGTGTGGTGAGGACGGCTGTGGATCAGCAGCTTTCCAAGAAGGATACGACGAAGCCGTTTAATCTGAAGCAGCTCATGGAAAGTAAATTGGAGGTTATTCAGGGCGGGATGCGTGTGGCTTTGAGTAGTGGTCGATGGGAACTCAAGCGGTTTAACATGAGCCGCCAAGGCATCACGCAGGTTCTCTCACGACTTTCGTACATTGCCTGCATCGGTATGATGACCCGACTGGCCTCATCGTTTGAGAAGAGTCGAAAGATTAGCGGGCCCCGCTCACTGCAACCGAGTCAGTGGGGGATGGTGTGTCCGTGCGACACACCCGAGGGAGAAAGCTGCGGTCTCGTCAAAAACTTTGCCATTTTAAGTCAAGTCACGCTGGACATGGATGACTCTTTTGTCAGGGCAGCGGCGCACAACTTGGGGGTAGAAGAAGTGGACTCCATCAGTTCAAGGGAATTTCTCAATTACTACACAGTGTTTCTAAACGGAACACTTATTGGCATTCACCGTTACCCCAACCGCCTTTGCAGGGGGGTGCGTGTGCTGCGACGCTCTGGGCGGCTGCACCCTCATGTTTCTATTGCCATCAACGATCGTCAGAAGAGTGTGCAAATTGGATGCGATGGTGGCAGGATCGTCAGGCTGTACATTGTGGTGAATGACGCAAAGCCTGCCGTTACTTCAGCCCACCTGGATCAGCTGTCTGCGGGAAAATGCTCCATCAATGACTTCTTGGCCGAGGGGTTGGTGGAGTTCATTGACGTCAATGAGGCCAATGACTGCCTCATCGCCGTCTATTCGAAGGACATTGAAACGTACACCACTCATTTGGAAGTTGAGCCACTTTCTCTCTTGGGAGTTGTCGCTGGCATTATTCCGTTTCCGCACCACAATCAATCGGCCCGAAACACGTTTCAGTCAGCGATGGGTAAGCAGGCGCTGGGTACAATTGCGTACAATCAGTACATTCGAACGGACACTGTGCTTATGCTCGGTGCCTACCCCCAGCGACCGCTCTGTCGAACAAAGGCGATGAACCTCACCAACTACGAAAAACTGGGGGCGGGCATAAATGCCATGGTGTGTGTGATGAGCTACAGTGGGTACGACATCGAGGATGCGCAGGTGTACAACCGATGCTCACTGGATCGCGGCTATGGCCGCTGCATCGTTCTCCGAAAGCAAGAAGTGGACCTGGAACGGCTCCCCAATGGCGAGTATGACATTGTTCTTCCCCCGGATTCTAACACCGGCAAGTACAGGGCCCTGAACAGCGACGGCATTGCCAGCAAAGGCGCCATTGTTCGTCAGTTTGACATCCTAGTGAACAAGTACACCCCGCTGGCGTCGTCGGAGCCCCGGCCCAATCCCCTGGTGTACAAGTATCCACAGCCCGCCGTTGTGGATCACGTGGTTATTTCCCCTCCTGGCGACTCCGAGCGTTCGATGGACGTGGAACAGAAAATTAAGGTTGTTACACGGGAATTTCGTATTCCGGAGCCGGGCGATAAGTTCTCCTCACGACACGGTCAGAAAGGCGTCGTGGGTCTTATTACCGATGGCGTTAACATGCCCTTCAATGAAAAGGGCATAAGCCCAGACATGATTATGAACCCTCACGGCTTTCCAAGTCGAATGACAGTTGGCAAACTGCTGGAGTTGGTTAGCTCAAAGGTAAGCACTCTTACGGGTAACTTTGGCGACGGCACAGCGTTTGGCGGCGACAATGCGGAGGATTTGGGCGCTCAACTGTTAAAGAACGGCTTTAACTACCATGGGAAGGATGTGTTTTACTCCGGCATCACAGGAGAGATTATGCAGGCATACGTGTTTTTTGGTCCCATTTACTACCAACGCCTCAAACACATGGTTACCGACAAAATGCACGCTCGTGCCACTGGACCCCGTTCAATGTTGACCAGGCAACCAACGGAAGGCAGATCACGCAGTGGTGGCCTTCGTGTTGGTGAAATGGAGCGAGATTGTATGGTTGGCTATGGGGCTTCAAATCTTTTGAACGAAAGGCTCCTCCTTAGCTCGGACCTTTTTACCGTGGATACCTGCCGCTCCTGCGGATTCTTGGGTTACTGTGGTTACTGCCCTTATTGTAATACAAGGAACACGGTGTCGCACGTGAACGTGCCCTACGCGTTCAAGCTACTTCTACAGGAGCTTCAGGGGATGGGTATAAGCACACGGCTTTCATTAGATTTCATCGGAAGTCACTAAAAGCAGATCGTATAAGTACGTAACATATATTCAGGACCATGGGCAGACTATTCCTTCTTCACATGCTTCTTTCCCTTAACAAGGTGCGAGAAGAGGCTTTCTTTGCGCTCTTCTTTGCTTCTCACTTCTTTTCCCCCATTTTTTTTCTCTGTGTGTGTACGAACGTTTTATTTCTCCACGGTTTTTCTTTTTCTTGTTCCTCCCTTTTGTCGTCCACGTGTATCACGTTGCTGTGCTTCAGGGCAAATGATTGCAGATGAATAGACGTCGTTCGCATCGATTAGGCCGACTGCTGTACCTGCCTAGGAATGAGGACACGTTTTTACGCTGTCTTCGGCCTCTTGGTGTAGGCTTTCATCCACTGTTGCGGTCCCAACAGTCTCCCACTGCGCCTCCGTTCTTCTCGCTCACCACGTCTGCCGCCCTCGCGCCCCTGGTTCCCTTGGCCATCATACCGGACACGGCTGTTTGGACTGCCGATGCGCTGCACGACGACGATGTAGAGGGGGTGATGCCCACGCGGGAGTTGTGCCTCGCGCTTCTTCCGCCAGGAACGCCAAACCCTCTATGCGATGCCTTTTACCTGTCGCTCTACTTTGCCCTCAACGTCTACCGAAGGACGTCGGCGTGGTCAGTGTGGCAACGCCAGCAAATTGCCCCGGCCTCAATGAGTGGCGACGACAGACGTTGTGCCGTCGAATTTTTCCGGTCGCTGTCTCAACACAGTCTAACACCCCCACTCGAACTTTTCTTGTCGATGACTGAGTACGCATTGACCCATTCCTGCCGATTATCAAGGGATGGCACGCAGGTGCAAAGGGACGGCCCCTCCTTTTCAGTGATACCTTTGGTCGATGCGACACTTTCTACAGCCACCGAGGGGGCGAATCTCACGTTGGAAAGGTGCGGCGCGGAAGCTGCGCACGCGCTGCGAAAGACATCACCTTTCTTGGCCACTGGGCGAGGTGGGCGGGGAACCTCTGACAAGGCGGAGTTTTGGGTGTTAAAAACAGCCAAGCATGTTGAAAAGGGAGGGCAATTGACTCTGCAACAGGCCTTGTGAGCGTCCCACCTCCACTCTGCCATTATGCCTGGCACAGATTTTATAAAAGGCAAGTGGCCCGGCTGGTAGCTCCTTTTATTTATTTATTTATTCGTTTTTTTCTCTTTGGGTTCCGGTGCAACTTTCCATGGCTACCCAAAGAGGAAGCAATACCTTGTTTTTCGTTTGAATAAAAAGGAAATACAGGCGGCCAGTCATGAGCCAAGGGCTGCGACGGCGGCCATGGAGGTCTTGCCTTGCCTCAGCGTGACGGTGGTGGCGGTGGTTTGGTAGCCGTGGGACCACCACGCGGAGATCGCAAATGACCCCCCAAAGAAACGAACTACAGACGGAAAAGCTAATTTCCTGCCACTCAGCGGGTGAAAGCAGTAGGACAGAAGCAGTCAATGAGCAGCGCGATGGAACTGGCACGGATAACTTAAAAAGGACGACAATAACAACTCCCGCAAGCGAAGCGGGGAAAAAAAAAGGTGAAATAACGCTAGCAATTGTTGGTCACCGACGCCGAGGGAGAAATAAAGAGAGAAGCACAAACAATATCATGCGCGCGGTGCTGCGATGTCTTCTTAAGGTTGTTGGTGCGCGTTGAGACGAAACGATGTCCTCCTTTTTTTTATGCGTGCTTAGGCTGAATTCGCCCACTTGCCCCCATGATGTTCCTCCTGCCTGCGTGCGTGTGTGCCCTGCACCATGTGGTGACCTTCTATCCCTCTCTCTCCCTTGCTAAACGTGGCTGCGTGGGCGTCGTGTGTCTGTGTGACTATTTTTTCTGCTTCTTTCTCCCTCTCATTCTCCTTTTGGCTGGTGGTTGGTGTTCGGCAGCAGCGCAAGCCATCAACTACAACAAGTACGAGGGGGAAAAAAAGCTCAAGAGGAGAATGCCTGGGAGGCGCGAGGAACAAGTTCACGCTGCGGCGGAGGGGAATCCCGCCACAGATGTGCCGCAGGGACAGTACAGGGCAAGGTCGGGGCCCGGCAGCGACACGCGGCAACCTGCGGCACAGCGCCGAAGGGTGGAGGAAGCACCGCCGGCCCTGAGGTGGACTCTTGCAAGCACGGTGGAGGAAGTACTGCTGGAGGGAAGCGTGCGCCCCGACAGAATGAAGCTGAACGACTTCCTTCGCAGCCAATTGGACGGCGTGGGCGTGGAGCCAAGGAACGAGAGCGTCTCTATGGAGGATTTTCTTGCGGGGCCCGGGACATTCATCACAAGTGAGGGAGTGTTGGACACAATAAAGAAGACCGAGCTGTTCAAGAGCGTGGAAGAAGCACGCAAGCTTGCGGGCCAGGGCGTGAGCACTCTCCAGCACTGGAGGGGGTTTGCAAGGAGGGGCGCGGCTAGTCCTCAAGCAAGGGGGAATCTGGACGCAGCGCTTGACGCGGCGGTGGAGGAGGAAGCGAGGCAGAGGCGGGAAGAGTTGGAGAAACTGCCTCGGGGAAAGATGATGTACCGGTCGGTGTACGAGGCGAAGTGGGGCTAC